TAATCTAGTAATTTTTCAATATGGGAATAGTTTCGACGATCGGATTCACAGTTTCGCTCTGAATTACGATGTCATCAGACCGGTTCAAATGCCCCAATTTGAAATTAAAATCTTTCAATATAACGTTCGCAGTACTTTTGAGCACTTGTATGAAAAAGTACGCCTTCTTTTTCGGGAGAAATAATCAACTACTCAATAGTGTACACCTGATTTCCTCGGAGCCTGACCCCAGTTGTCGGTGGCATCTAACTCAATTTTGGGTATTCTCGTAAAATGTTCAGGTTGAAAAATGTGCCGCATTAATTTACCACGAAATAGGTGAGTAAAAGCGATGTAAAATTCACTATCCCCAGCAACTGACACCTCAGTGACGAATTTCTGTCGAATGCAGGGATAATGCGATGGCGTACAGGGTAAAACATGTGGTCAACGGCTGTTACAGCGGACTAAGAGTTTACGTTGTTTTCTACATGATCACACATTCAACTCTGCATAGGTGAAGAGGCATAGGACCCTGATGCCATTCATGCGTGCGTTTTCCTCAGTTCCTCATTCTTTGCCGGCTGAGTACGCAACAGCAGCCACAACAAATTCTCATTCGATCTAGTCAATAGCAATGCTCCTACACATCAATCAGTTTGCATTGAAATAGACAACGGAGTCTTGGGTCGTCATGCAGTGTTGACAAAGTATTGAAAATCGGTTCTCGTAGCTCGGGTGAACTGAAATTCCATTTCGCCTGTTCGCCGAGCAATTGGCAATTTGTTTGCAAACTTTCATCACCAGTCTAGGTGACATCATCAGTGCTTGCGACGTGGCAGTGTTGTGCTTGTGCCTATTCGTTTGTATGTGTTCTTCTCCACCGATTGTTTTTGTCCCTTGTTCTCACTGTGTTCGACTCGGTTCGCTGTTAGACTGTTGAGAGGGAATGAGAGTAGGATGGGAGGTGGTTGTCTTGATTGCGGCCTCGGTCCGTGCTCAGGTCAGTGACCTTTTTCTTGTTACGACATTTGATCCTTGAGTTGCATTGGCCTGTGCACGCGATCCAGCTAGATGTGCCTGTTTAGTGAGTTGTCTGAAGAGTGCAAAAGCCCAGGCAAGTCCCCATCCGGAACTCATGCACAATGGAGTTGAACCCGGGTGTCGATTCGTCTATATCGTTCCTGACTCTAAATGACTATAATAATATTATTATTAATAATACTAATAGCGATAATAAATCATGTTAATTAAGTTGTGAATGTCACTATATGTGGTTTTAATTTCCATTCACAGATTGCGTAATATGATTATTTTGATCGACGAAGTTTTGACGACACTGTCGATGTGGAAGCGTTGGATTTTGATAATGGAATCAGAAACCACTTCCTGTGGGATCTAACTGCCTATTCACATCATGGTAGGACCACAGAATTGCCTACACATATATTCTCCCCCAAGCATGGGTTCAGAAATTTTGAAAAAATTCCGTGTTCCACTGTGAAAAAGGAAACTGATCACCAATAAAGTGTTGTTACTTCATTTCATACTCCTCTCCTCAAGGTCCGGCTAAACTCGATTAGTGGTAAACCCAAATGAAGTTCATCAGCATTTCCTGCACTCGTGGATCGGATTATAGATGGTAATCCAAACGAGCCCAAGCATACAACACACACACACACACACGGTGCCCTTCTGCGTAACACAGATTGGGGTGAGGTGCGGGTGGGTGGGCTGATAGGTTGAACAAACAGTTGTGCAATTTTCAAACTTGTACGTCATCATCATCATCATCAGTCCCTATTTTAGCCTGTCTACCTGACTCGCCCACTCGTGCACCACTCAAACCCCGAGATTGAGCAAAACCACTTCAGTTGGGAATTCCTCATCCGGTGAATCTCCTCACAGTGTGTGTGTGTGTGTGTGTGAATGAGTGAGTGAGTACGCAATCAGGTTTCTAGGGAAGAAAAAGTGAATTACACGAGGGCGATAGTGTATCCAACACGTCCAACAACTTTCACAAGTGTCCTGGCCTCACTCAACAGTTCTCAATAATTGTCTGCACCCCGGGGTAGCTGGGTGGCTGTGTAAGGACCGTTGACCGATTCATCGGAGGATCCTGCTTCGTTCACTTTGTCTGACTGACAGACACATCAGTAGGAATGTAACCACATGGTTACCTGGGGCAACTGTTCCAGGTAGTGGTGGTGGTGGTGGTGGTGATACTAGAAAACAAGTGGAAGCCAGAGGACTACACTGAGCCACGCAAACACACATATAAACACACCATTTCTAACGCAAACGTTTATGGATAGTTGACATTGAGCATTTTAGATATCCATTACCACTATTTGGAGATGCTCTAATACTTCGCGCGCGCGCGCGCTCGAGAGCGAGAGACAGATTCGATCCCCCCCCTCCCGTCGGGAAGAACCGAGGTGTTAGCTCGAATCTCCCTTATCCGCTCACGCACACCCGTCCACTTGCACATACGCAAACCGATGATACGAAACCACGAGTGTATTTCGACCATTGCGCAGCATTTTTATTCCGGTCCTCTTCACTTATACTCGATGATTTGTGAAGTGGTTGATGATTAGTTTAAATCGAGACGGAGTCTGATCTGATTCATCTGGAAAGTTCCGGTGTATCCTGGCCGTTGAACGTTTGGTGAGGAACCCGGTAATGCTACAAAGTCTAACTAATCTAAAGATGTGCGATATAGGCAAATGTGGAACGATTTGCTCAAAAAACACATTTAGATGTAATTCAACCGGCTAAAAATAAAAGGATAGGCTCCTTATTGTAAACAGAATGGTAGAACTGCGATTTTATTGGAGTGTATGCCCCATTTGTGATGGGTGGAATTTAATGGGTGGCATGGACGAACATCGCTTCGTCCCAGAGATNCGCGTGTTTTACGCGTCTGGTCACCAGGATCATCACCGCCACCGAGAGCCTGTCACCCTATGCTACATTTTTGACTGTCTGCTTCTGAAAACGGACTGGACCATTTTATCCCGGTTCAACAAAAAAGAGATGATTATTATTACTGGTCACATGAACCGTGATCAGAACTGCGATCTTTCACATGGTATTTCACACAACAAACGAAGGAGTCGAGACTGAAGAGGGAACTCCGGCGCAGAAACCTGTTCGCTGGTTGAAAACAAACAACCGATCGAGGTGGTCCTTNACAACCGATCGAGGTGGTCCTTGAAGAGATCATCATCATCATCATCGTCTGAGATATCGGAGTCATCATCATCCTCATCGCACAGTTCAGTTTTGTCAGATTTTATCGTCCTACTCACTAGTGACATTAACATTCCTAATTTCATTGCCACAAACTTGGGGTTGTTTTTTTGTATCCAGCTTTGCGCTCTTCATAAGCCTTCAACTTTCATGGTTTTTTTCTGCTTAGAATACGTCTAAAATACAAAATAGATGATTTGGTCCTTCGCACCTCGCAATACGATGTTAGCATCTGATGACTACTGATTGGACAGTGATCTTGTCATGTTTGTGTCACAAATTATCGTTTATCTCGAACAGGCAATCGGTACACGGACGTTAGTGTCAGAATAAGTATAGGCTACAAAACATGAGTGCAACATGTAGTATGTCTGTGGGTGTGTCGGAGAGAATATGCTGCACTTATATGCCGCGGTTGGTTTCTCATATATTCCGTGGGAACTGCTCCAACACATGTTCAAAACATGAACTATCTTCCGGCTCAGCTACATCATAAATTTGCTGTGCACGAAATCGGACAGAAGAATAACTGTGTATTGTATAGGGCCAGCTAAAAGCGTATATAAAAATACGACACGCTCTCCGGTTGTCACATCACATTCGTGATCCACATAAAAATCACATAATAAAACCGATCCATCTTGGTTCGGGAACCAGCTAACTGTGTGCCCCCCCCCCTCGGCCTTCATCAGTAACTCCACGGTCGTGTTTAATCTTCTACTGTGTAAATCAACGGTAATATATTTCTCTAGGATGCTCAAACTTCATCTATAGTTCGTCCGTACTGATCCAGTCCAGTACGCAGTCCATTTTTCATCAAAAACCACCAACTTTAATCTTACCAGACCGCCCTACAGTCGCTGGATGGATTTCAGATATCTATTTATAGCTATACGCAGTCTTAACGTTCGTATCCCCTCCCCACACCACCACACACCACCACCACCACCACCACTATCCCCAGCCCTGACCATCGAGTCCGATTGTTTCGTCTATCCGCAATCACAGATTACCTTCACTGCTGCCGCTGCCGAGAAGAGACATCGGAGCTATTTATAATGATTGGGAAAAAGTTAGCTTGCCATATATTTGTTAACCAACGATGCTTTAGATGTACACACACAATTACCTTGGCAATGTTTAAACCCAATTTGATAAAAAACTTCCCCGGTGACAAATTACCTCGCAAACTTTCCCAAAAAGATTTTCACATGGAATATTGCATTTTGATTTGTCTCCTTCTTTGTCAAACGTATTGTTTCAGTTCGAAGCGGTCGATCCGGACTACGGACCAAACGGAACAGTGGTTTTCGAATTAATTTACTCTGGCGGTACCATCCAGCCTCGACCCGAAACGAGTAATGGATCCCTGTCCACATTCACTCTACATCCAGACGGTCGTCTGATTCTGACCAATCATCTGGAATTCGACACCATCTATACCGGATCCACTCGTCTAATCCCACGACGTTATCGTCGTCCGGATCACTTGCTTATCCGTGTTTCCGATCAGGGTCCGACCCCGGAGCATGTGATCACCGGAGTCCAGATCACTTATCATGATGCGTCTCCAATTTTGATCGAGTTCAACCGGGACGAGCATGCGTCCGCGAGTGGTGAAACACAGAACCGCTCGATCGGAGCGGCATCGGTTGCCGCCGTTCCAAACGGCTCACCGGATCGTGTGGAACGAAGACGAACCTATCAGGATGGAGCATACTCCCGTCTAGCATCAAAACAGTCCTACGCGTACATTGGGCAGGGCAAATCACACGGATTACCGGTGCTCTATATTCTAGCTCTAGCAGTCTGTTTTGCCCTCGTTCTGGTCATAACCAGTTTGGTCTATCTGTATTTCAAAATGCGAAAACCGGTCGCACGAACACAAGGTGGAAAACATGGAGGTAAGAGTTGAACACTCATTCAAATATTCGCTGGAGATTAGTGGATGGGAGGGTGGAAATGCATAGGTTTTTACACAAGTGTTGATCAAACTCGTGCAACATCACTTTCATTTTGGAAATCAATTTCAGTTTGCAATATCCTACTTACATTTGGATGATAATGGGTAAAGTATATTTATTCCTGACTTTATCTCTAAGTTCTATTTTCTTAGTCCTATTCTATCGCTGTTTGAATCGCGCAATATTATTGAGCGTCACAATAAAATTTATAGCAGTTCGAAAATTACCGCTGACTTTTGAAAAATACTTTACACAAATCAACTTGGAACTTCATATTTTCTAATGAATGATTCTCCTCTTATTAGAGCGATTATTAAGCTGAACAGATTTTTTACAAATTGTTTTTTTCTTTTCATTCAATGTATGGTAAATAAGGCAAGTAATGAAACTATTCTAGCTTCAATAGATTAATAATTTATTTGGCAATCAACCACTCACACATAGTCCACAATACTGAAAGAACTGAAAATATAGTCCAAAAAACATACACGTTGATCTTCGAAAGTTGACCTTGAGGTGTGCTGCTCGCTGAGTAAGCGTCTTGTGGTGTCACCATGCCCAAACCGGATGAAACATCCAAGAAGTTTCGGCATACAATTGAAATCGAGAGGCATCTTAATCGAGAGGCACATAACTCCGATGACGCAGTTCTTGACTAGTGCAAGGGCCTAATTTGTCGCACAATCAACCGAATTTCTCCATCAAGACATAAACCAAGAGGGCGAAAACCCATCATAGCAATGCAAGACGATGGATGTCTTTGATTGCGTCGGAGAAAAGCTGCACACAACCAATATGGAGACTAGTCTAGGAAGATTAGTCGATTTTTCCTCCTGCTACCTTCGAAATGCAGCTGAGGTCACGTAATATGAAGTCATTATTGAACGCTCAACAATGCAGTGCTCTCATTGATTTTATCAACGAATTCAAATCGCGGCGACCGTCCGGTTGGCATTGGGTTTGTCTTATTGCTGCCTAACGAGCAATCCAGCAGGCGATAAAGTCTGATCTATTGAGTTAGTTTTCAAATGAATTTCGTTTTACTTGTCACAATAAGCAAACATCCATCCGGCACAACCAGTTGGAAGGGAAGTAAATATTAAGCATCTTGTTGTTGGTCTCCTGCACATACCCATCTGGATATCGCAAAAATTCTCACCCTTATAAGGGAGTTTTTGAAAACTCTCACTTCCAGGATGCATTTTCGGAAGTCATATTTTTCACAGTTTAAGGTTAGTATGTGTTCTCACTTGAGATTGGAAAACCGTCAGTTGTCTCACCGCGATTGGTATCTCCATGATTGAGATGGTGTTCCCTGAGCGTATAGAAGCATCTTATGCATAATTATGTTTTTTTGCTGACTTTTCAGGTTTGAATTTCTAAACTTTCGGTGTGGCACTGTTTGCCAATCACCGAGTGAACGACTGGTTTAAACTTGACTAATTTCGAACCCGTCTCATGATACCGTTGTGAATTTGGTTTGTTTTGCGGCTTCACCTCGCTCAGTTCCCAAACCACTTGTTTGCACCGGTTTTAAAAAAAAATGGAGTTACGTAGCATCAATTGATGCAAACGGAAAAATCTGAACGATTGCCAAAATCGTGAGTGTTCGCAGTTTAGATTCAGAAGAATGAGAGGGAAAGGGTGTATTTCACGTTGGGCGACGGTCGATGATCGGACGGTGTGTTGGATTGTCCACCCGGTTACTTGTAGTTCGTCTGCTCGAACTCCGCCAACCGGAACCCGTGTGTATATTCCCACATCATCTTCAGTAAGCCAGACAATGTCAGACAATAGCCCGGTTCTCGAATAGCTAGCGCTGACTTTGCTATATTTCACATTGATATAAGGGAACTTATTGCCACTGTGATTATCATAATGAAAGTAAATTAACCAATGAATTTGTTTTTAATGACATTTGTTATCTAGTCAGTTCTCTGATTTAAACTAAGTGCACAATGATGACATTGCGAAAATTATTTGTCGGGCAATGATTATTTTCCGAATGAGTTAGAATTATTCGGAAAGAAATACAGTGGTAACACAATCGGCTCGTCTGAATCTAGCTGTGAAATTGGGATCACGGAATGTATCAATTGAAAGGCAAATTGCCAACTCGGTTGCATGCAGTTCTACAATCGTGTCGTTTTGTTCGTTGAAGGTGAGAAACAACCGACCGGAACGATCTCACTATCATCACATTATTTACTGTCGGTCGAGGGGTTGGTTGTATTAATTTAGTCTCTGCTGAGTAGTTTGAGTATAGATCGACAAAGCTCACACACACACACACACACACACGGCTATGGCGAAACCAAGCAACAGTTTGATTTTGGACAATCACACTAATTGTTTTCCCTTCTCAATCACATAAGACTATGCTTTTATTTGGTGGCGGAAGCACACGTGAAAACTGCCACACTTCCTAGTTTGCCACCGTCGGTTTGGCATTATAGTTTTGCCGTTCGCACACACGCACACACCCAGCATTCCCTCTCGTGCCGAAACAGGCTGCAGATAAACCCGATCACTACTGTCTCCACCCTGTGATATTGCTGTGATTCCTGTAAACTGTTTACACGAATATGTATTGATCGCAAACTCATGAAACTGACTATAGAATGATAAGATCGTCTTCATCCACCCGACTAGATCATCTCTCCCCGCATCGCACCGCCCCACCCCACCCCTCTCCTCTGCTTTTGACTAGATCCGCGCTATTCCTAGTCTTCACGATCACAGTCGTTGGTGGGTTGCTCGTCGGCATGGACCTCTTACTATTTACTCGGACCATCTCTCTATCTTTATCTGTGGTATCACTGTTTCTTCTCTCATACACAGACGAATTCATAATTGGAGTATGTTGCTGATACATATATAGGGGTATGTGCGCGCGAAAACACACCCACAGTGAGTGGCATATCCCTAAGGGAATGTTCTGTCAAGCGAATATACAAAGCGTTTCTGAGCAATCAAGATTATCACCGTTTACTTCGATTGTGGGCAAATTTTGACTGTTTACTCAATCAAAGGATAGACAAACACGAAAAAGTATACCCTACTACTACCAATACTATTACTACTACTGTTGTGAGTAGTAGATAACATTCAATGATCAATAATATAACAAGACCACTGAAGGCTAAGTGATGTGTCTGAAAGACTAACTGCTAGTATTTGATGTGCCGCCAAAAACGATGAAAGTCTGTTCCTGATTAGGTTTTTGTGTAATGTATTTCAAATTACTGATGTGATCCTCAATATACGAATTTCCTCGATCAGCACCGCCTTTTGGAATTATAACAATTGGTACCGTGACCAGGATCGGGCGGAAAGTTTCATAGCCTGAAGCCTTCGAGGATATGGCTGAGCTGGCGGGAATACGACCGGACCGGGGTAAGTTGAGGGCCCTTCGAGAGCTTTTCAAGGGCCGGGCGCTGGCGGTAATGGGTGCAGAGGCCCGGAGAAGATGGAGTGGGCCACCGCGAAGGACTCCTTGATCTCGGGTTTCGACACCCCGGCCGACCGCCAGAAGGAGTTGCGGAGCTTCAGAACGGCGCAGCTCGGAGTCAGCGTGGACCCCTTGTCGCATGCCGTGGCCTTGCGCACCCTGTTGAATCGAGCGCTCCCAACGTTGGATGATGTCGCGCGTTCGGAGTTACTGCTCGACCGTTTCATGGGGAGCCTGCTGGAAGATTTGCGTAAGACAGCATGGATAATTAATCTGGAGAAGACCTTGAATGTTTTCAAACTGGCGGATGTACTGAGGGAGTTCGCCTGTAAAAAAAATTCACTCCTGTCCAGCCAACCGAAGGCCCTAGACGCCAACCTACAGGAATTACGGCAACTCTTAAAAAAACAACGAGCTGGCAGCTATCCGAGCCGATTAAGAATAGAGATCTGTCAAGAAAGGGAGTTGCGAGAACAAAAAGCCAGAATGCTGGCAGAAAAACTGCTCCCAAACACAGCGCAAATGGTCCATTAGAGGACCCCTGCTGTCGTTCAAATCGGTGTTCCCAGACAAGGCCCCCTCCAGAGAGGCTGATAGTTGTCCAGTCCAAACCCATTTGGAGATGACGAATCAGAAAGTGCCAGGTTTGTTTGACGTATATGCTGCTGTTTATATCGCGGAACTTCATTCAATTTGGTCATTCGAAGCCTTGAATATGGCAGAGAAGACAGTTGGCGAACGCGAGCCGCAAGTTGATAGCGCAGTAAATCCAACTTTCTCTATCGAGAACACAACGGACAAGCAAAATTTTCCCGGATCGCAAAACAAAACCATATGCGAGTTAAGAATGCCGGTGAAACGGAAACCCAGCGCACTTCTGAAAGTGCCGGAACCAGAGTACAAGCACCATGTCGGAGGCCGCATCGGTGAACCTGAAGCAGCAAAGTTACTCCCTAAATGACGAAGTTCATGTAGAATCCGGATAAAAAGGACTCCAATGAACATGTTTCAGGAGATAAGTGACGACAGAGGTAAGTACCAAAGTGAACACGATAGATGGCGTCGGGATCAGAGCCGTACGCGAAAAAGTCATCAGAAATCAACCTACTAGTAGGATCACCAAAAATCAATCATGAAGCCACAAGAAACTACCAACCAAACATTAATCCGTTCGAACTCTCAGAAACGAGAACTAATTGCCCGCTGCATGTAGAGTTCCCCTTCGCCGGGGGGAGGAGTATTGTGAGATACCACTCACTTGTGAGTAGTATGCAAAAAGATGCCATCAGCAGTTTCTGTTATCGACCAAAATGAGTAGTATCTCACAACACTACTGCTACTACTACTACTACTACTAACAACAACAATAACAACAAAAACGACAGCAACATATTAATCGGTGTATTTGTTCCCTGGTTTCCATCACGCATGTGTATGGGTGTTGTGTTGTTCTTGTCCATGCTCCGTCCAGAATCCCCGATTTTTTTGGAAGCTCTCAACAACCGATCATCAGTCAAACACCATAGGCAATCCACACAGTAAACTTGGAACAATCCATTTGCATTTGGCGATTGGAACACGAGGTGAATTTTCGATCGATTGAATTGAACAGGGGAAGTCAAAAAACAGTCTCCACTTTCATCAAACTGGAATCAACTTGTCGGTCGATGCTATCGATGAGTGATCAAAATACCCAGCGCCACCAGTTGACATCACCACCACTTCTGTTGTTCTTGTACAACACCCGCGTTGTTGTAGTATTAAGTAAACTCACTGGAATGGTATTTGTGTCTAATAAAGCGTTAAACTGACAAAGAAGGAATAAAAGGTGTTACTTCTATGAGTAACATTTTATTCAACGAAAATTCTGTCACACATTTGAACCGTAGGTGAAGCATTCATGTGGAAAATAAAAGGATAAGTCCAATCAAGTAATTATTGTAAGAAAGCGATTGCTGACCGATCGCATGTTCCTGTTGATCGATTCTCAAAAAGCACTTACTCACCGTCGCTATCTCTTGGATTCTGAGATCGCATTCTTTCGGCTTGGGCTTTACCATTTTCTGATGTTGGCTTTTTGCACAGTTGGATTCCACCAACTAAAAGCAGATCTTCTCCCTCTGGTTTAGTGATACGGTATTTCATTTGCTTGTTTGTTTGTTTTTTTTACTTACCAAGCCTGCTTGCGCTACCAATTCGAGGTTTGCATCAGCTAGTAAATATTTCCAAACTATTTCTTTCTCACAGTCATTATCTCTCACTCCTCAGACAGTATTTTCCCTGTCCCCCAAACCCCCAATACACAGAACAAAATCACACCGCTCATTAGCTACCCAGGTGGAAAAGATTCAGGAAGAGCTTTTTGGTTCGCTCAAATTATCTATCCCTACTCAGTTAAACATTATGTGCTAATCAGACACACACACACACACGCACACCTCTTGGGGATTTTTCGCATTCTTTCATGGGTTTTGAACCTAACGAATGTTGTTTGAGTTGAGCGGCAATTTTCGTATTTTGCTTATGCTCTACTCCGGCTGGCCATATTTGTACTTTGTGCCCGTTGTGACACGATGAACATCTATGGTGAAATTGTCAAACGTTCAGTCGCTCCGGTGGGACTCGAACCCACTCATGGACGCCGCCAGCACTGTTTTACAGCTCACGCTCTATCAACTGAGCTACGAGAGGCCACACCAATATTACTGATCTTTTCACATTCCAATCATCCATACAACAGAAATGATAAACACAATGCCTTTTTCCTTTTCGTATTCAGCCCAGTCTCCCGCACACGTGCACATACCACTGTTTTGAGTGCGACTATTCACCGTAATTGGGCTTCATTCCATCTTTACGTCTCTCTCTCTGTCTCGAAGATTATCGTTGCATCTAACATTCTCGAAGGTGGATAACGGTGTTGGTGAAGAAATTTCTTTTCGACGTATCGCATCAGGCGGTTACGTAAAGAAGGCAATCTCATGCAACAGATTTCTGATAAGCTCAATTTTCCAACCGTGCGAGGGGAGCAATCAGAGCAAGTGGATATGACAAGGCAAGTGGTAGTCAATGTTGAACGCGTGGAGCGGATGAGAGGACAAATACCAAAATGGAAAACGATAGAGAAATAGCCTAATTGAGGTGTTGGTGAAAGTTGTGAGCTAAGCCAACAGAGTGCGATGAAGTTACATACGGTACATTTGAAACTATACGGCATGCATAGCTTGTGATGTAATCGGGAAAGGGCGATGCAGACAAAAAATAATTTTCTGGTTGAGATTGTGATAGATGATGATAGTGGATGGAGGGGTTTGGGGAGGAAGGTTGATGTTCTGCTTTATATACAATCAGTCTGCCAGGCCAGGACAACAACAGTGTCAGGACCAACCTGTTTTGCCCGATAACTCTGGATTGAAAATGCGAAGTGCAGTCAACAGAAGCGATAGTCGACCAATTCGATATCTGTACTATGATCGTCTGATATGTGTGCCGGTCGGCTGCTGCGATATATCCAAAAGAATTTTCTTCGTGAACATCATTTTCTATATTGTCTATGGGAATAGTCTACGAATTATCCAAGGTGTTACTTCTCGGTAAAAAAAGATCTCGGTTATTGTGTTCATTTTATACTGCACAAAATGTGCCAAGGTGCATTGTGTCACAATCTGACATATCGGGTCCCAGCTATCTCATGGTCCTCACCAGAATGTGCTTACGCTTTCCTTCTTTGCAGCTTCTGCAAATGCTGCGACAAAATTTGTCATCGGGTTTTCAGGTCAGCCACGATTGAAGAGAAGGCACCTCTTAATCTTCGACTAGTTGCAGTGTGCCAGTAGACGGGCAGCTTGTTGTCCACATGGTCCCCGGTTTTAGAGATGCGGGTTTATCATGCATTCAGTCATAAAACTGCCCCTT